ACTTTATTTTTTACTTTTTAACATGTTTTTTTTATTTTTTACATTTTATTTAAACCAAAAGTAAAATAAAAAAATTATTAAAATATATTATATTTAATTTAATTTAATTTTACTTTATTTTTGTTTGTTTATATTATTATTATTATTTTTATTTATTTTTATATTTTATTTTACATTTTATTTAAATAAAAAAATAACAAAAATAATATTGTAATTTTATTTTTACCTTTAAAAATTTTTTATATGTTTTTTTCGAGCTTGGCAGTGTACAGTAAATAATCCACTTCTGTTTTTTTGGAAAAGAGCAGTTCGGTCATTCTGCCTAACATCTCCTCTTTCACAAAATAATGAAAATAATAGAGGATTGCAATGACATTATAATAAGTAAATGATGAACAACAATTACAATTATTGGGTGAACTATTCTTTTGGAGTTTAGCTGAATTGTTAAATGATCATATACTGTAAATTCTGAGCTTTCATCACGATATGATCGGTTTCATCTTGTATGTGATGGGTTCAAATCTGTCCTTGATTCAAAAACCATTGCATTTTAGAAAACTCAAATTGAGCTGACATGAAATATGCAACTCCAAAACAAAACTATGGAAATGACCGATTGCTGAGACGATCTGTGAGCTCCGCTGCCCACATTAAAAAACCATTGCATTTTAGAAAACTCAAATTGAGCTGACATGAAATATGCAACTCCAAAACAAAACAAAACAAAACTATGGAAATGACCGATTGCTGAGACGATCTGTGAGCTCCGCTGCCCACATTAACAGCCACAACAAGACGAGAGAGAGGACTGAAGTGAATGTAAATGCTTTATTAGACTCGACGAGAGATGCCCATCAGAGATCATAATTGATAATAAAAGAGCTTGATTGTGGACTCACTTTAACGGGCCGTCATTGCGATGTGAAGGACATAGATGCCCCCGTTCAGTGACTGACTGTTTGTCTCATGCATCTCTTCTGCTTCACCAAGACTGCATTTAATTGATCAAAAATACAGTAAAAATGGTGAAATATTATTACAATTTAAAACAGCTGTTTTCTATGTGAATATCTGTTGAACTGTAATTTATTTCTGTGATGCGCAGCTGTATTTTCAGCATCATTACTCCAGTCTTCAGTGTCACATGATCTTCAGAAATCAGTATAATATGCTGATTTGCTGCTCGAGAAACATTTCTGATTATTCTCAGTGTTAAATTGAGTTGACGTGTCTTTCTGTGGTCTGTAGGAGAGGACCTGCGGGTTTGCGTTCCTCAGAAAACCTGCTGTAATGCAGAAATGGAGGAGAAGTTCAGCCAGAGAAGCTCACGGGACTTTGAGAAGCTCATGGACGACACGAGCGAAGAGCTGAGGGACGCGTTTATGACCGGACATAAAAGGTTTGATGGTACGATTTGTTCTTTAACGTTCATCGATTAGATTGAGGAAAGAGTCGAGTTATTATGAGACTGTTAACACTCAAAAGCTGCTTATTTAGTGTAGTCAGAGATTATTAACCCTAGAAAATCCACATTTTCAGGCTTATAAATGATGACCAAGATAACTGCTGTTAAACCTGTTGCACACAATCTACTGCATGCCTTCTGTCATCTTTTCAGCTGGAGCTTCACGTGTCTTTTTGCTCTCAGATCTACTGATTTTGATCAAGTTAGCGTCAGAATAACTGCAGTCATATCTCCAGATGAACACTTACTGGACTGAAGCAGCTCAGCTTTACTTGATTCTCCATCAATCATGTTTTAGAGTCTCAAATCTGATCCTCAGGATCTTTTGAGGAGCGTTTGTTTCCAGAAGCTTTACTTTCACTGTTCCTCAGCGGAGGAATGATCTTCACAAGCCTCCAGAACATCTCACATCTGAGGAGGAGCCTTTATTTCTTCAGCTCTCAATCACTGCATTATATGTTCTGATCATTTCAATCTCATCTTACTGAGACAGATTACTGGAGATATAGAGTGACGACTGATATTTAGATCATTGTATGTAAGCATGCACCAAATTGCATAATTAGAGATTCAGTGCATTGGGCAACAATGAGTTAAAAAATTAATACTTTTATTCAGCAAGGAAGCATTAAATTGATCAAAAGTGAGAGTAAAGGCGTTTATAATGTTACAAAAGATTTCTATTTCAAATAAATGCTGTTCTTTTGAACTTTCTGTTTCTGTGAATCCTGAAAAATTAAATGTATCACAGTTTCCACAAAAATATAAAGCAGCACAACTGTTTTCAACATTGATAATAATCAGAAATGTTTCTCGAGCAGCAAATAAGAATATTATACTGATTTCTGAAGATCATGTGACACTGAAGACTGGAGTAATGATGCTGAAAATACAGCAATAATTTACATTTTAATAGATATTCACATTGAAAACAGCTATTTTATATTGTAATAATATTTCAAAATTGTTACTGTATTTTCGTTATCAAATAAATGCAGCCTTGCTGAAGCAGAAGAGACTTCTTTCAAAAACATTATAAATCCTACAGATCCCAAACATGTGAATGCCACAGTAAATTCATACTAAAGTCATGTTATGAAGGAAATGTTGATATTTGTTTGGTACGCATAGCAGAAAAATAATAATGTAGGAAATAGACTAAGGAAGGCATTTCACATTTCACATACAGTTTTTCTGTAATATTTCCATAAGTACAGATACAAAATATATAATAGTAAACCACTGAAAACAAATTTCTGTAATTGGTTATTGAAGGTCATTACGCAAAATGTTACAATGTTTGTTTCTAAGTTAATCTAAATAAAAAATAAAAATAAAATCACAGATTGATTCAAAGATTAAATATTTATAATCCTTCCATTGTAGTTTACAGCACAGACTGTCAATATAAACAAGGCCTCCCTGAAACTCATTTCCTAAAATCATAATGCGGTTGAAGGTCTGTTTATAAATGTTTATTTGCTCATACTGACGACAAATGTGTTTTCTAAGCGAATTCATTAATCCATTTTTTTCCTGCATATACATTTATTATTTATTATTGATTTTATATTTATTTTTTATAACCTTTATACATTTTTATTACATATTTAAATTTTTTTTATTAATTAATTAATTAATTTGTACATTTTTACAATTATTATTACATTTATTATTTGGCAGAAAACTACTATTTTATCCAAAGCGACTTTCTGTGCATCTTAGCTTTACATGATAAAATACAAGAACATTTTCTACATTTAGATTTTTACGTTTTGTTTATTTTTCATTACATGTTTTTATTTAAATTTTTTATTTAATATTATATTATTTTAACTTTTTTTTTTAATGACTTAATTTATTTTATTTTGTTTTATTTTTTATTTTAATATTATTATTTTCTTTTTTTTATTATTATTGTAATTTTTTTTTAACAATTTTATTTATTTATTTACTTACATTTTAGCAATTTCTATTACATTTATTATTTGGCAGACAATTACTATTTGTCAAAGATTTAATTATTTTATCCAAAGCGACTTTCTGTGCATTTTAGCTCTACATGATAAACTACAAGAACATTTTTATATTTGATTTTTACGTTTTGTTTATTTTTCATTACATGTTTTTATTTTAATTTTTTTTTATTTAATAAAATTGTTAATTTTTAATTTAAATTTGTCTTTTTTTTTTCTTTTTTCTTTATTTATTTGTTTCTTTATTTTATTAATTAATTAATATATTTTTTTAATTTTTACAATTACTATTACATTTATTATTTGGCAGACAGTTATTATTTGTCAAAGCTTTCATCATTTTATCCAAAGCGACTTTCTGTGCATCTTACATGATAAAGTACAAGAACCTATGTCGTATGTTAATATTGCACAACCCTGAGTGCTTTATCGCAGCTATGCCATATTAAAATATTAAAGACAAACATTTATTGCAGCATCCAGAACAGGAACGATCAGTTGTATAATTCCCAGCATGTTTTCTGTGTGAATAAATCTCCTGTTTACCGTGACATTGAGAGGTTTCATCATGCGCTGTGATGATCGGGACGCACAAACAAAGAGCGCTGACGAGTTTGTCAGGGAGAACGTTAGCAACAGTGTGTGCTGAATTCAGATAAACGGAATGGCATTGAAACGGACCTCATGAAGAAGCACTTAACAGAAGAAAGTGAAGAATTATCTGGAAAGTGATGTGCTCATCAAAACAGTCCGACTCTGCGATTGACCCTCCACTTGCTTACGGTTTCAGTCTTTACAGAGCGTCCCGAATGAATGCATGCTAAAACTGATTGGATATTATTCTTATGTGTGCTGGATTAAAGCGTGATGTTGCAAACCCATTTCTATTCAAAGAAAGAAATAGTTTAGTTATGCATTAAATGGATTTGACTGCAGGGATAAATCAAAAGTGAGACACAACACACAGAAAAGAGAAAACAATTACATTGATTGAAAGCAATTACATCCGATCAGTGAACAGGACTATTCCTATTCCTGTACAACCTGCAGGAAGTCGTTTGATTCTCTCATTAGCAGCTTAAAGGGAAGCCAACATGAATTTAAAACAGCGTTTAAGCATTTAAACTCATCTCTGGATTATCTGTAAGCACTAAGATGTGAAGTGATTTCAGTTTTGTGTTCTTTATTGTGATTTAGCTCTTTCTCAAAAAACTCTGTGGATGTTTGTCTTGAGTAACTTAAATTAAACTGAACAGCAGCTATTTTACTGATTTTTTTTTTTAACAAAACACAATATAATCATTAAAGGAAAATCTATTAAAGTGGAAAACATAACATTACTTGTGTGTTATCAATGTACTGTCTGATACACATCCCAACAGAAAGCATGTATAGTTTTGTTATCATGAAAAAATAATAAATAAATTATGATTTATTATTTATGAAATAATTATAAATTAATGAACTATGTATTTGTTTATTATTATTTTTTTGAGGATCTGTTTGGTCACTGAAATTTTATTTTAAATCACACACACACACTCACGCGCGTGCACACACACACACACACACACACACACACACACACACACACACACACAGACACAGAGAGAGACACACACACAGAGAGACACACACACACACACACACAGAGAGACACACACACACACCCACAGAGACACACACACACACACACACACACACACACACACTCACACAGACACACAGACACACACACTCACGCACAAACAGACACACACACAAACAGACACACACACTCACTCGCACACACACACATACTGTATATACGCACACACACAGACACACACGCACACACAGACACACACACACTCACACACACAGACACACTCACTCACGCACAAACAGACACACACACAAACAGACACGCACACACACTCACACTCACTCAAACACATACTGTATACACACACACACACACAAACACAGAGACACGCCCCCCCCGACACACACACCACACACACAGAGAGAGAGAGAGAGAGAGACACACACACACACACAGAGAGAGAGACACACACACACACACACACACACACACACACACACATATATATATATATCAAAGACGAGTCGTCCCATTTTGTGTCCACATCCAATTAAATTTACAAAAGTGATTTCATATACACAGAAAACATATTAAGTATTTAGTGCAATGTTTCAAATAACTTGTGAAAATAAAATACCAAATTATGGGTATTAAAATATCAAATAATATCCCATCCTCAATCAGCGTAACAGATATGTTTATGCAAAAATGAAATGACATGCTTATGCTGACCTGTACTTATTAAAATATTAAATTAAATTGATCATTATTAAAATAATCAATTTATTATATTTTAAATGATTACAAACTTATTTTTGACAAATGGGTAAAACGTTATGTTTTAAGGATAGTGGCAAAGATTGGTAAAGATTTAAAATTACAGTACAATTGATTATTTTTTGCTTATTTTATTGATCCTTAAATCTTGAGTCTTTTAATGTCATCTAATGATTCTTTTTATTTATGACTATTTTTATTTATGCTTGGAAAATATGTAGTAACATTTATATGTTAAAGTGTGTATGTGTGTGTGTGTGTGTGTATATATATATATAATGCTTTACACATAAGCCACTTTCACAATTAATATGCAACTTTAAATTAATATAAATAAATGTATATAAATAAAGCTTTGGAATATATAACATTTCTTTTAAACTCTTTGTGAAAATGTAAATTAAATAAATAAATTCACTTGATTCACTTGCATTAATATAGCCATGTATTTCCTTTCAGCTGCCTTCTCAAACTTTCATGGCAGCAGCTGTGTGTCTTGTGAATGCATTTAAAGTCATATTTTTCATAACAATCCCGTAATTTCCAGCAGAGAAGTGAATTGTGCCGACTCTCTTGCAAAAAGTGAATCAAATTGATGCAGGATCTTGCTAGCTAGATAATGCTAGCTACTTCTGTTGATTTGTTTATCCCTCAATAACATGTCAGTTTACTTACCTTACTAACCAATACTGACCAATTCAAAAAACATTTGGTGTAGATTTAATTTGAAACAATTTTCACTCAGAAATTGCTAGTAAATTTCACAAATAATTACAAATAAATGGCAGTTAACAAAATGAATTAAACATAAAATTTTGAAGTAAAATGTCTGAAAAAGTGCATTCTTGTCGTAAAAAAAATCTTTTTTTTTACAGTGTATATTGGAGGTAACGAAGTGAGCACTAGGCATGTAGAGAAACTAACTAAATGAGTCCATGTTCTCAGTATTAATTGACACAGAAAAGCCGTATTTCATGTTTTAACAGATTTCTTCTTGGAGTTGCTGGAGAACACCGAGCGCTCTCTGAACGAGATGTTTCTGCGCACGTACGGGAAGCCCTACTTGCAGAACGCCGAGGTCTTCCAGGGCCTGTTCGCCGAGCTGAAGAGATACTACACAGGCGGCAACGTCAATCTGGAGGAGATGCTGAACGATTTCTGGATGCGTCTGCTGGAGCGCATGTTCCAGCTCCTGAATTCCCAGTACCTCATCACCGAAGACTATCTGGAATGCATCAGCAAGTACATGGAGCAGCTTAAGCCCTTTGGAGACGTTCCCAAGAAGCTCAAGTCTCAGGTTACACGAGCGTTCATCACCGCCCGCACCTTCGTCCAGGGCCTCATGGTTGGACGGGAAGTGGCTAACAGGGTTTCCAAGGTGAGCTGTTAACCGTGTGGTTCATAAAGTGGTGCTTACTGCCCTGTCAAGCTGATTTGTGCTTGTGATTTTATGAGGGAAAATGAAACCTGTAGCATCTGACAGTATGAACTGTATTATGACATACAGTGTTCATGCATGAGGTTTGAATATACAATTATATCAGAGCATATGTTTTTAGAGCCCTTTGAAATCTTTTGTTTTGTTTTTTCCCAAATTCCCAAAAATGTTCAACAATTATTTGAGTTAAAATTTTACTGGATTCTGTTTATTGGTTAAATTAAATGTAAAGCATGTCTAATTAATTGAAATAATGAAAGTTATGGAATTGAACAATTTATTAAAATTTTAGGACCTTATGAAAAGTGTTTTATTTTTTCCATCTTTTCAGTTAAAATTTTACTCAATTCCGTTTTTGTTTCGTTTTTTTCGTTTTCGTTTTTTTTAATCTGTTTTAATGGTTACATTAAATGTAAAGCATGTCCAATTAATTGAAATCATGAAACTTACGGAATTGAACAAATTGTTTTTTTTTTTTTTTTAGGACCCTATGAATTGTGTTTTTTCCTCATCTTTTTAGTTTCAATTTTACTGGATTCCGTTTTTTTTTTTTTTTTTCAGTTTAAATCTTTCTGCATTCTGTTTTAATGGTTAAGTTAAATGTCTAATTAATTGAAATCATGAAACTTATAGAATTTAACAATTTACTAAAATTTAAAGAAATTAAATTTTTAGGGCACTATGAAATCTTTTTGACTTTTCCACTTTTTTCTGTTTAAAATTTTACTGGATTGTGTTTTTTTCTGTTTACATTTTTCTGGATTCTGTTTTAATGGTTAAATTAAATTTGAAGCATGTTTAATTAATTGAAAGCATGAAATATATAGAATGTAACCATTTATTAAAAGTAACAAATTAATTTGTTTAAATTAAATTTTTAGAAATTAAATCTGTTTTTTTTTTGTCAAATTCTGTAGATTTTTTCCCAAATTCTGTGTTTTCTGTTTTAATTTTCCTTCATACTGTTTTAAAGGCTAAAGTAAATTTGAGTAATGCAAAAGCATGTCTAATTAATTAAAATCATTAAACATGTACAATTTAATAACAATTTAAGTTAGTTTGTAAGTATATCAAAAAGGCCCTATGAAATGCGTTTTTCCCCCAAATTCTGTTTTTCCGATTTTTTTTCCCCAAACTCCTTTTATTCCATTTTAATGGTTAAATAAAATTTTTTAAATCAAAAAGCATATCTATTTAATTGAAATAATAAGCCTATACAATAGGAATACAATTGATTAAAAGTTTAACAAAAGTGACATTTTTAAGACCTTATCAAAAATTTTTCATTTTTATGTATTCTATTTTAATGGTTAAGTTAAATTTTTGTAATCGAAAAGCATCTCTAATTAATTTAAACCATAAAACCAGCACACAATTGTTTTTCAAAGTTTAACAAAAATTACTTTTTTAAGACCTAAATAAATCTGTCTTATTTATTTTTTCAAATACTCAAAAAGCATGTCTAACTAACTGAATTGCGTTATACTGAAAATTCCATTATTATGACTGGATTCCGTTTGCGTGGGAAATCATAGCTCTATATTTGTATCACTCTAAAACCGTCCTTTAGAAATACATTAAACCAGACTGCTAGTTTGCTGGTCTTATCTGATTTAAGATGGTTTAGCTGTTCCCCCAGCCTGGAAAAGCTGGTGTTTAACTGGTTTAGCTAGTCAGTTACCCATACGCAGATCTAGTATATTTTTATCGTTTATAAAAAAATAGTGTGTTCTCCAGATATTGTAGATCTCCTGCTCTGCAATCACATACACAGTATTGAATCATAGGAAGGAAAATGGTGACAGAAAGTAGCTTTCTGCGTTTACAGCTCTTGTTGGTTTAAGGATTACCAGCTTCTTCTGGATGAAGTGTTGACTCAGTTGAAGGTCACTGCTTTAAATGCACAGCGTTGTGTGTGAGCTCAAATGGAGAAGGTTGTTCAGTGTGTTAATGGCCTGATTACTCACCCTCGGTTTCCAAACTCATACGACGTTATTTCATCTGTGAAAAACAAAATGAGATGTTAGGCAGAATGTCTGAGCTGCTCATAACCAAAATGCACGGCCATTTTTACCGCAAGGTACAGGGTTATTATCATTAACTAAAACTAAAACCATAAAAACATTTCATTACCTGTTTTATTTTTCTTATTTCAACTAGTTGCAAAAGCAACATTTCTCATTTTAATTTAGTTTGTTACAATAAAGTTAAATAACTCAAACTTAAGAAATCTATATAGATATTAAAAAATAATAATACAAATGACAAAAACACAACAAATTTACTAAAACTTTAAATTAAAATGAAAACAGAAAATCTAAAAAATAAAATTGAATTCAAAATGTACTTAGTTTTACTGTTTATTTTTTAAAGAATTTCTACCCAGTCAAATATATTTGGTCTTGGCGTATTTAGAAAAATAATATTCTTGTTAAAAATGCCAATGGAGCGTAACTTACATTTGATTGTGACCTACAAATAGTGCAGATTCTGAAATAGCTCTTTACATCATAAACTTATGTTATCTATTTTGCATTTATCTGAAAACTGAAATGTTGTTTATTTCCAGTATTAATTTAGAATTTGATTCCTGGATGTTTAGATCCAATTTGTGTGTGTTTATGCCTCATAATTTTGTTAAAACTTTGTCTAAATACCAGAATTAATCATCTTAATAAGTTAATTTAAATTAATTCTGTTTTAAGTTTTTGTTTTAGCTATTGAATATACCCCTCAGCATGTTCTCAAAAGTATAATTTTCTGTGCAATTTGAGAAACTCGCATGACCAATTTGCATGAGATTTTTCACTAATGTATTTCAACATGACAGTATGATTTCCATCCATATGCATCAAATGAATAGCGTGTGTCATCTTCCATCCGCAGGTCACCATGAGCTCTGCGTGCGTCAGCGGCTTCACTAAAATGCTCTACTGCTCGTACTGTCAGGGTTTGTTCACGCTGAAGCCCTGCAACAACTACTGTCTGAATGTGATGAAGGGCTGCCTGGCCAATCAGGCCGATCTGGACCCAGAATGGAGCAAATACATCGGTAAGAGCCACTTCGTACCTCTAATAAAATGAATTACAGATATAAGGCATACATATGTCAGCTCCAGAAATCTGAATCAGAATTGTTGACTTTCTTATAGGGATGAGTGATAAATAATATCAGATTGAGATTGCAATAAAATTTGTCGATAACGATGATCTGGACATTTTTACTGAATTAATCTAACAGCAGAAATAAATGCAAAAACAGTCAGTCAAACTCATACGGAAACTCAAAGATCTTCACGACAGACCGCTAAAATAAAAGTTTGGTTTAACTTGAAGAAATTATGACAGAAATATGTTACTCTTGTGTGCTAAAATGTACTTCTCAAAGTAATAATAATATCATTATTTTTAAGGAATATGATACAACTAAGATATATTTTCGTCCATGTTTTAATTTACACAGTTCTGTTGTGCAGCATCATATTTGACAAAAAATAAAAATGCAATGTTTTGCTGTAAATAAATAGTTATATTTTCATTTCATTTACAGTTTTTAAAAAAAATTATTAAATTGTTAAAGTTTTATTAATAAATTTAATTAGACAAAAAATTTTGATGATTAATTTGTATTAAATAATAAAACACAGAATCCACACAAAAACAAACAAAAAAAAACAAAATTTTGGGAAATAAAATGGATTTTGAGTTAGATTTCAATATTTCATATATTTTATATAATGTATTTTTATGAGCTTGCACACTTTGAGATTTATGATTTATGAAAATATTCATCCATTATTACTCAGTTTTAACATAAACTAATAAAGTTAATGTGATTCATATTTTTCAGTGACACATAAATGAAACAAGAATGAGATTTAATAGTATTAATAAACCAAATGTATTTTAAGTGCACAATTTTTCATCAGTTAATCCAATTTATTATATACATTTTAGCTTATTTGTTCCAAAATAATAATAATATTTTTATTTCATCCCTGTTTTTATTTCTGTTTTTGTGCAGCATCTTATTTGGCAAACAAATTAAAATGCATTGTTTGTTGTAAATTAATTATTATATTTTTATTTGACAAAATGTTAAAAGATTGATTAAATTGTTAAAGTTGTATTAATTTATTTATTTGACACCATTTTCTGATGATAAATTTGTACTAAATCATAAAACACAGATTCCAGAAAAAAATAAAATATAAAACAGAATTTTAAATAAAATAAAAGGGGCTTAAATAAAAAGCCTTACTCTGTGGAGTTTAATTGTGAACAAACAAGTTATGTTCTTATTCATTCAGCTCATTGCAGACATTGTTGTCTGTTTATTTAGGAATTTTTTCCCCAAAATAAAGATGCTGTCAGTAAATATTCACCCTTATGTCATTTCAAACCCTTACGGTGAAGAATATAGCTGATTTGTGCTTGTGATTTTATGAGGGAAAATGAAACCTGTAGCATCTGACAGTATGAACTGTATTATGACATACAGTGTTCATGCATGAGGTTTGAATATACAATTATATCAGAGCATATGTTTTTAGAGCCCTTTGAAATCTTTTGTTTTGTTTTTTCCCAAATTCCCAAAAATGTTCAACAATTATTTGAGTTAAAATTTTACTGGATTCTGTTTATTGGTTAAATTAAATGTAAAGCATGTCTAATTAATTGAAATAATGAAAGTTATGGAATTGAACAATTTATTAAAATTTTAGGACCTTATGAAAAGTGTTTTATTTTTTCCATCTTTTCAGTTAAAATTTTACTCAATTCCGTTTTTGTTTCGTTTTTTCGTTTTCGTTTTTTTTAATCTGTTTTAATGGTTACATTAAATAACAATTTATTAAAATTTTAGGACCTTATGAAAAGTGTTTTATTTTTTCCATCTTTTCAGTTAAAATTTTACTCAATTCCGTTTTTGTTTCGTTTTTTCGTTTTCGTTTTTTTTAATCTGTTTTAATGGTTACATTAAATGTAAAGCATGTCAAATTAATTGAAATCATGAAACTTACGGAATTGAACAAATTGTTTTTTTTTTTTTTTTAGGACCCTATGAATTGTGTTTTTTCCTCATCTTTTTAGTTTCAATTTTACTGGATTCCGTTTTTTTTTTTTTTTTTCAGTTTAAATCTTTCTGCATTCTGTTTTAATGGTTAAGTTAAATGTCTAATTAATTGAAATCATGAAACTTATAGAATTTAACAATTTACTAAAATTTAAAGAAATTAAATTTTTAGGGCACTATGAAATCTTTTTGACTTTTCCACTTTTTTCTGTTTAAAATTTTACTGGATTGTGTTTTTTTCTGTTTACATTTTTCTGGATTCTGTTTTAATGGTTAAATTAAATTTGAAGCATGTTTAATTAATTGAAAGCATGAAATATATAGAATGTAACCATTTATTAAAAGTAACAAATTAATTTGTTTAAATTAAATTTTTAGAAATTAAATCTGTTTTTTTTTTGTCAAATTCTGTAGATTTTTTCCCAAATTCTGTGTTTTCTGTTTTAATTTTCCTTCATACTGTTTTAAAGGCTAAAGTAAATTTGAGTAATGCAAAAGCATGTCTAATTAATTAAAATCATTAAACATGTACAATTTAATAACAATTTAAGTTAGTTTGTAAGTATATCAAAAAGGCCCTATGAAATGCGTTTTTCCCCCAAATTCTGTTTTTCCGATTTTTTTTCCCCAAACTCCTTTTATTCCATTTTAATGGTTAAATAAAATTTTTTAAATCAAAAAGCATATCTATTTAATTGAAATAATAAGCCTATACAATAGGAATACAATTGATTAAAAGTTTAACAAAAGTGACATTTTTAAGACCTTATCAAAAATTTTTCATTTTTATGTATTCTATTTTAATGGTTAAGTTAAATTTTTGTAATCGAAAAGCATCTCTAATTAATTTAAACCATAAAACCAGCACACAATTGTTTTTCAAAGTTTAACAAAAATTACTTTTTTAAGACCTAAATAAATCTGTCTTATTTATTTTTTCAAATACTCAAAAAGCATGTCTAACTAACTGAATTGCGTTATACTGAAAATTCCATTATTATGACTGGATTCCGTTTGCGTGGGAAATCATAGCTCTATATTTGTATCACTCTAAAACCGTCCTTTAGAAATACATTAAACCAGACTGCTAGTTTGCTGGTCTTATCTGATTTAAGATGGTTTAGCTGTTCCCCCAGCCTGGAAAAGCTGGTGTTTAACTGGTTTAGCTAGTCAGTTACCCATACGCAGATCTAGTATATTTTTATCGTTTATAAAAAAATAGTGTGTTCTCCAGATATTGTAGATCTCCTGCTCTGCAATCACATACACAGTATTGAATCATAGGAAGGAAAATGGTGACAGAAAGTAGCTTTCTGCGTTTACAGCTCTTGTTGGTTTAAGGATTACCAGCTTCTTCTGGATGAAGTGTTGACTCAGTTGAAGGTCACTGCTTTAAATGCACAGCGTTGTGTGTGAGCTCAAATGGAGAAGGTTGTTCAGTGTGTTAATGGCCTGATTACTCACCCTCGGTTTCCAAACTCATACGACGTTATTTCATCTGTGAAAAACAAAATGAGATGTTAGGCAGAATGTCTGAGCTGCTCATAACCAAAATGCACGGCCATTTTTACCGCAAGGTACAGGGTTATTATCATTAACTAAAACTAAAACCATAAAAACATTTCATTACCTGTTTTATTTTTCTTATTTCAACTAGTTGCAAAAGCAACATTTCTCATTTTAATTTAGTTTGTTACAATAAAGTTAAATAACTCAAACTTAAGAAATCTATATAGATATTAAAAAATAATAATACAAATGACAAAAACACAACAAATTTACTAAAACTTTAAATTAAAATGAAAACAGAAAATCTAAAAAATAAAATTGAATTCAAAATGTACTTAGTTTTACTGTTTATTTTTTAAAGAATTTCTACCCAGTCAAATATATTTGGTCTTGGCGTATTTAGAAAAATAATATTCTTGTTAAAAATGCCAATGGAGCGTAACTTACATTTGATTGTGACCTACAAATAGTGCAGATTCTGAAATAGCTCTTTACATCATAAACTTATGTTATCTATTTTGCATTTATCTGAAAACTGAAATGTTGTTTATTTCCAGTATTAATTTAGAATTTGATTCCTGGATGTTTAGATCCAATTTGTGTGTGTTTATGCCTCATAATTTTGTTAAAACTTTGTCTAAATACCAGAATTAATCATCTTAATAAGTTAATTTAAATTAATTCTGTTTTAAGTTTTTGTTTTAGCTATTGAATATACCCCTCAGCATGTTCTCAAAAGTATAATTTTCTGTGCAATTTGAGAAACTCGCATGACCAATTTGCATGAGATTTTTCACTAATGTATTTCAACATGACAGTATGATTTCCATCCATATGCATCAAATGAATAGCGTGTGTCATCTTCCATCCGCAGGTCACCATGAGCTCTGCGTGCGTCAGCGGCTTCACTAAAATGCTCTACTGCTCGTACTGTCAGGGTTTGTTCACGCTGAAGCCCTGCAACAACTACTGTCTGAATGTGATGAAGGGCTGCCTGGCCAATCAGGCCGATCTGGACCCAGAATGGAGCAAATACATCGGTAAGAGCCACTTCGTACCTCTAATAAAATTAATTACAGATATAAGGCATACATATGTCAGCGCCAGAAATCTGAATCAGAATTGTTGACTTTCTTATAGGGATGAGTGATAAATAATATCATATTGAGATTGCAATAAAATTTGTCGATAACGATGATCTGGACATT